GAGTATAAAACAGGTTGAAAAGTTAAACCATTCCAGATGGCTGCCATCTTCTATGCAGTAAAAAAAATGATAAATTTCAATTCAAACAAACTTTGCAAAAAAAAAAAACAACCTTTGGAGAAATAGTAACATGAACAGCAATGTGGACTAATGCAGAAATAGTTTCTGAAGGCACTTTATTGTGCCCGATCTGAAAGAATTACAAAATAATCATAGAATAATAATCTTATCAAAAATCTGAAAATGAGGTGAAGGTAGGAGTGGATAAAAAACAAAATATAAATAAATAAATAAAATAAAGGGATCAAGTTAATAGTTTTACAAGGAGGAACAGGAGTTTTTTTTGTGGGGATTATTTTGCAGGAAAATTAATAAATGTTTACAATATTCCTCTCTCACATTTGGTTCACAGTGGCAATTCATAGACAGAACACGAGATCCGTCAAGACCCGCATAGATTCCTGATCTAAAGTCAAATTACACCAATTGAAGTCTTTGAATCAAACTTTATCTATTTGTCTTTTCTACTGCTCTTAATCTATTATTAAACTTAAAATATTAATAATAAACTCCTAGTGTTGAAAGATGTTTCTACACAAATTACTTTTGACCCGGTTTTTGTATTCTGTAGATTTCCTTATGCTTCTTATAAGTGTGTAAGCTGTATTACCTTTCTGACAGGTATTTTCTTTGAAGCTGCAGTCTGGATGAATACAGATATCCAGAAAGAAGAGTGGGAATATATAATAAGTCAGGAATTCAAAATCTTGATGGGAATATAAATCTGTCATGATGTACCACTCAAAGATTTTAGAGCTTTTATTATTATTATTATTTTAATGGCAATCTGGTGTGCTAATTGATCCGAGAGAGAATAAAAGTGCCTCATCTGAGGAGAGGTAGCACAAAGGGAGTGGGGAGTTTCACGTGCATCTAAAATCTTGACAGAAATTCCACATGAACCAAATTATAGACAGCTCAAAAAGGAGAAAAATCAGCTTGAGACAGCAATATAATTACAAACATCCACATATTTGGACGAAACTAGAGAACCAGGAGAGGAGCAAGTGATCCATCTTGGATCGCTGTTGACAACATGGTGACATGTTCAGTTTTAAATGACAAAACTTGATGAAAAAAATACTGGGAGGGCTTTAGGCTTACATGATGATCAAAATAATTAAGTCAGATCAATATTCTTCAGTGGATCTTATTTCAGACTTTCATTGCCAGTTTTCAACATCCAAGGCAGGGCAATGAGTTTGGGCTGAGGGTGTGTGTCTCTTCTAGCCAATCAGGGAGTGATGTGGCCGTCTTTTTTTTCTCCTCCTCTTCGATGCCAGACCGATGAAGGCCAAACAAGGAGAGAGAGAATGAGGGAGGAAAAAGAAAGATGGCCTAAAGATTTTAATTAGAAGAGAAAAAAACAGTCAAATCAGGGTCAAGGAGATTTGAGAAGGAATGTTTCAGATGGTGGCAGTAGGAAAGGAATGGGCAACGTTGAGAAAATGTAATGAATTGTAAGGGTTGTTCAATTAGTTAAATTTATGTTCCATTTCTGATTTTGGCTCCAAACAACCAAAAAATGGGCTAAACATCAGAAAAGTATCATCATAAAAATGTGTTGAAAGTGATAAAAGCAGTGAGAACAATCATAATTATTAATTTGTTTACTCATAGTTCTACAACCCCGTGACAAATAAGGTCAAGGAAGATTTAGAAGAAAAAAAATTACATTGATTTTCTTTTTCATGACAATTTTAGTAAGTAGATGAATAATTTGAGAAGTGAACATATCGAGACTAAGATGATTTTTCCTTTTTCTTGCTCTATTTGTAAAACTACTGGATCCAGACTCGCAACCACCTCTACGCTTTTCCCCAAGCTGGAAAGCTTTTGGGAATGTAGTAAAATTGAAAGAAAGAAAAGATCAAAGTGTTTAAAAGTCTCAGGGAAATGCAAATGTCTCTTTTGCTGAAGCATCAGTACTGTATCAGTTTCAATTTATGTATGAATTGCAAAATCAAGACAGATTGTGTATGTTTTATTGTTTCAACTACATCAAAAACCTCTAAGTGGGTACTAAGAATGCACAAGCTGTTTATTTGATCATTTTTGACTTTAGTGACAATTACATAGACTCATAATTCATGTCTGACTTTTAAAGGTGTTTTTTTTAACAAATCACACAATTCTGTAAAAACAAATGCAAACATTGCCTACAAAAAAGGATACTAAACTGTGCAAATGATCGTTTTATGTAACAATAGGAGCAGCACTGTAGTGACACAGGATAATCAATTGTACACATGCTGCATCAGAGAGAACACACACATTGCATGGATAGTGGATGAGTCATGTCTGCCAGCCCCTACTGTTCTTGTGATGGCTCGAGATTTAAGGGCTCGCTATCTGCATTCATCTCACAGATGCAACCCCCCACCCCTTCCTCTACCCTTTCCGTCTCTCTGCTTGCTCTCTCTTTCTTGCTGTTGCACAACGTGTGTTTCCCACACACACACATAACAGGTAGAAAACACTGAACGAGCGTGTGTATGTGTGAAGCTGACAACTCTCCATATGTTGTGCACGCCTACCGCTGGCAGGATCTGATATAAGTCAAAAGATATGGAAATTATTTTATGATAATCCAGTCTATCTCTATATTTCCCAACAGACAAATCCACTGATCCACACATCTGAATATCAGCACACACAAAAAAAGTCACATTCAGGGTCAAATACAAAGTATTAGCTGTGCAACTGTGCCGTTAAAGGAAAAATAGACAATTTCTGTCAAAGTAGGACATCATTTCCTATGAGAAATAATCACAGCATTCTGCAGTGACATAACATATGCGAGGAAGAGTGCTGAATGAGCATTGGAGCATTCTTAGCGGCATCTTTATTTTCAGTTCTGAACACAGGTAAACGTCCACAAGCACAAAGTCAATCAAGCTGAACCTCTGTGTAACATCTTGGTTGTGGACATGATCTCTTTCACCAACTTTAGCTGGTTTGAATATAATACAACACAAGCATGGACTTCAGGTTCAAGTCCATGCTGCCGTATTTCTACATGGAGTTTGCATTTCCTCCATGAGCACGCACTGTTTTCCCTGTCTATTCCTCCTCTTTGTCGTTTTCGTTGCACAGTCCAAAGACTGTGCACATGGTAGGCTAAATCTTTTCTGTATTTTCAATGTCTTTAGACAACTTTGTCAATGTCACCCTTTATGGACTGGTAATGGTGTGCCACTGAAGGAAGACAAACCCCCCAACCTCTCTCCTTCATAGATTCTTGTTATGGATTCTCAGGGAAATAACATATATAGCTAGCCAGATAATATTGCAAAATACAATACAAATCCAGCTGCATTTTTTAGAGACAGCCGGGTTAACCCCAAGCTTCCACAGTAATAGGTGATATATCAGTGGTGCTGGAAGTCTGTCAAGTACAGCTATTATTTTTTAAAGAAGTTTGTGAGTAATATTTGGCTAAACTAAGATTCTTCGGAGTGGGGTTGGACTCCACCAGATGTTTCCCATGCAAGCTGGAGGACTCAGGAGTCAGTTTTTTGAAAGTGTGGCGATACAGTGAATAAAATAAATTGGAGAACGGAAAAGCATTTATATCCTAAATTTATTCTCTGTCCTGTTTTACAAAAGTTGTAACTTTCTTTGTCTGGCCTCACTAACTGTAAAAAAACTTGTTTGAAAAGAATAGTTTATACCCATTCAGTTTGTCAGCTGCCTCCAATAACTTTTTTTAATCATCTGATATTTATGTTATCTACTCAGATCAGCTCAATGACATGGAGCAAAACGCTTATTTTTTTGCCAAACCTGCAATCAAGAACTGACAGTGATCAGTTGTTAAAAAAAATAAGATGCATACAGCTATGGCACCTCACATTTTCCTTAAACTTTTTCTCATTCTTTCTTTGGCCTCACTAACTGTGAAAAGCTCACACAGGAACTTGTGTATTTTGGATTCTGTGCATCTTCTTACTCTTCTTCCAGACAACAGGACCTTGATTTTCAAATGAAATGGATATTTGACTTTTCACTCAAGAGGTTTTTGGACCTTTGAGCCAAATTTCACTCTGTTCTCTCATTAGCCTCAGGGAGGGTGCTTCTGATGTCGTCTTTTGACTCCACAGACAAATGACAATTTGCAAGAAATGAAGCCCTTGTCCTGCATATATCAGTGTGTTGTAGCTCCTGAAGCTCTTAATGGTGCCCCCCTTATTATATTGGCCATAACACAGAACTTTGAGCATTTTTAGTAGTATGAATAACACACATTTATCAAAAGTAAACAAATACATTCTTTGAAATCTCCCCTCTGCTTCCATCTTCTATATGAGATTTGCCTCTTGATTGAAGTTAAAATACTTTTTAGTAATTCTGTTAGTTATTAACTAAAGTCAAAAGCTTAAATAAAAAAAGTAAAAATATATATATAATAATTTGAATACATTTGTAAATACAGTTGTAAATTAATATAAAAAAACAAAACAAAAATAAAAATAAGTGTGCACATTATAAAGAACTCTTTGGGGAGGTAGCAGGTAATCTGGAGGGTTAGGCACCACCTCTACATGGCCCTCCCCCCCATCACCACCCACGGTGACGCCACTTATCTGATATGTTTCCAAGGCCAATATATTGACACCCTGAGTTTGACATATACTTTTCAAGTCAAGGACGAAATCACTCATGCTTTCCCAAAGTACCTGATGTCCCAGTGTGTCTCGATATGTATCAAAAGTAATCTTTTAACTGCAGTGTTATAAATGGATTTGCGTGCACCCTGCAGCAAAGAGCAAGATCTCGTCATAAGTGTGTGCTTGTTCTTGCCTTGTCCAAACATTGAAATACCAAACTAAATATAGCAGCGTGTTGCCAAAAAACGGCGTTTGCCACCTTTCGGTGTCTGCGGTCTCTCCCTCAGCCTCTGCGCTTGTGTGGTGCGCATACAGGTAAAAAGCTGCTCTGCCACTGCGCAACGATGGAGCTATCACAACGATGGAGATGACGCAAACAGACTCAGCTCTCCGAAAAAGTGTTTCAAGACGAACATGGCGGCAACTTAACCGAGGTCCAAGATGACAGTGGCCACCGGGAGAACCGATTCGAGGCTTTCCGAGAAACCCATCTACCTGTGTCGAGGGGGCTGCTGGCTCTTCTTTAAGTGAATCTGCGGATCGAGCGGTGGCAGACGCGCAGCATCAGCACCAGAGAGGCTCGCAACAGCTGGTCTCCCTTGCGCGCCCCGCTGATAAGCGAACAAGCCCGGAGAGGGGACGTCAGGGAAGAGGTGGGGGTATGCGGTCAAAAAGGACGCCGTTCCCCCCCGGAGAGCCATGGAGAACCGGGATGCGGCAGCGCGAAGCTTAATCTGAGCGGGCACGGTAATTGGTTCGGAATAGCACCGACTTGCTGCGGGGCGCGATAGCAGGAGCGCCCTGGACCGGCGGAGGCTCGGAACCCCCCTCCTACCGCTGCAGAGGAGAACCAACCGGAGCCCGTCGCCCGACAAGTCAATGAGTATTGTGGCAGAGGAGCCCCCGCGGTGGAGTCGGCCCAGGGCAGCACTCTCCTAAAATATGACCAGGGGTGTTTGGATGCGTCGGCAGCATAACGAATGCTTAAAATACTGGTCTGCACCCCGAGAGAACGAGAAGCCATTCACGGAGCCGGAGCGGGCCCAGAGATGGCGACAGTCGCTGGCCTCTCTGCTCTTCATCACCGTCCTGCTTTCTGATCACCTGTGGTTCTGCGCCGAGGCCAAGCTGACGCGGACTCGCGACAAGCGGTCGGACGAGGGGCACGCTATCTCGGACGCGGGCGAGAAGAAGCCAAACTCCCCCCAACCACAACACGTCCCAAAATCACCCGACCCCCGCCGCCTCGCCAGAGAGCAAGATGTTATTTTTATAGGGAATTCTACCAAACCTCTGTGGCGGATGGACACCTGTCACCCGGACAGCGTGTCCAGAGACTGCTTCACTTTCACGGACGCTCTGACAGTGTGCCTGGGCCTCTCCAGCGAAGACGAAGAGGGGACACAGTCGGCGTACGTGAATCTGAGCGATTTGTACCTTTCTTTTTGTAATTCCTACTCACTTTTGGATTTGTTTTACGGGTTTACGAGTCCGGACGTTTTGAATTGCTCCCTGGATACGGCCATGGGAGTGGATCTGCTGGGGTGCGCGGAGTGTGTCCGGGCTTATCAGCGTCTGGATCGGCAGGCGGAGGAGAACTACAGGGAGTTTGAGCTGCTGGTTCAGAAGTACGAGACGGACGCGTACTCAGTCAGGACGTGCATGGATGAGTGCAAGGTAGGACGCACGCACACCCCGCACGTGCACCTAAGAGGAAAAATGGGATAGGGAGGTCACGGTCGTCATGGTAACCGCTTGGCATATTTGTTACGTGTGCATTAATGCTCAAAAGTTCAAGGTACCTATAGGTCATCAGACTGCATGGCTGCAGCACATACCGGAAGATACTGGAGGAAGTAAGCATTTAAGGCTGCAAATACTCTTTTATGTGTTTCTTTATGTCTCGTTTATATTACAGTATTATGTATATGTACATTTATTTATTATAACTGTTGGCATACCTTACAGCTAATGTCTGGCATGTGGACTCAGATTCTGTCACATCTCAAGCAGATAAGCAGAGAGAGAGACAGGGGCCACCGCTTTAATATTTCTAATAGCACTTCTGTGATTTCTGCATCTAATCCAGGATTTGCACTTCCCCCAGTTTACCTGTTGTTCCAGCAGCAGCAGCAGCAGTACAATCATTGCAGTCGTGCACCATGCTTGCTTTCGCAATTAACAGCACACATCAGGCGATAAAGATGGATCCCACATTTGTGTCACGTTTGATGTTTGAGCTCAGTCTGCCTGCTGTCGAGGAGAAACGAGGTGCATCAGCTGAATAACAGTTGAGACTATTTTTGTTTGTTTTGAGCTGCATGGTTGCAGAGACTTGCCTTTGTTCTCACAGTCCTGTTGTAACTGTCCATGGTGCTGAAACAAAATGCTGCAAAGGGGTTTCTGAAGGAAAAGTTATTATTTCAAACTGTGGGCACACAGCAGGTAGTTTGACAGCAATGTAGATAATAACACTGATGTATGTAACAATGTGTAACATATTGAAATAACTTTAGAAGAGTTCTCCATAAGATTTCACGTGTTTTTGTTTTTGTTTAATCACCCAGGACTGGATTCACTGCCTTGCAAAAAATATTCCACAAAGTGAACATTTTCTCTATTTGTCAACCATTTTGACGCCTTAGAACGTCAAATTTCAGTCTGTTTTATGTTGTTTGTCATATAACAAAACAACATAAACTGACACTTAACAGTTTTTTTTTTCCCTTTTTTATTTTTTGTAGAGAAATCTGAATGCATTTTCAGATAGGGAATTTCTCAACAAACACAACATGATTCGACATAATTTTGACAGGAGCTAAACTCTCACACACAAATGAGCTTTGATTCAAATCATTTCATTCTAGGTCTGCATCTTCAGAGTCGCTGTCCCGTTGAGCCTGTTGAATACAATTGTCATTGCTTTTGCAGCCTCATATAGGTAGCCTTCCATTATTGCTCCATATTTAACTTTTTCAATCTTCCCACTGGCTTTGAACTGCTGACATAAGGCAAACCATTCTACATGTTGCATAGCCATGTTTTATGGTGAGTCTATGGTGTACAAGGGGATGTGAAGTTTAAATTTTCTGCCACACATGCATTCATGTTGACATATTGACTCAGCTCACCTACATTCATGTGTTTGCTGTGTCTTCTGTCACTTTTGGAAAACTGCAAACATCATCTTATGGCTTTTGTACAGCAGGGACTTTCTTATTGCCACTGTCCTATGAAGGCCAGATTTATGGCGAGCACAGCTTATAATGATCCTGTCAACAGATTCTTTTGCCTTAGTGTGGATCTTTGCAGAATTTACCATGGATCACTTTGCTTCTTATCTGATTACTGCTTTCCAAGCGAAGTGTGCTATTTTAGATGGAAAACTATGACTTAGAAGGTTTGCAGTTTTAACATATTTTTCCATTTTAAAACAGTGAATTGGCCAGTGATCTGTGACTTGTCTTTTTTGTCTTATAACCTCACTCCTGCTTTAAACTTATTCACCACTTTATTAGTGACCTATTTGCTGGGTTTCTTACTGTTTGTGATTCTGTTTGTTCACTAATATTATCTAACAACCCTCTGTGCCATTTCACAGAACCGCTAGATTTAATTACTCAGCTGGAAACTATTTATTACATTATGTATGTTTTGAAGGCAATTGGTTGCAGTAGATTTATTTAGGAGTATCAAAGTAAAGTGGTCTCATTACAAGAGCAGATCACTAATTTCTATGCGTCATTTTCGTTTTCTGTATTTGGTTTTGGTTAAATGAGATCCTGGATTTTAATATTTAATGATTAAATGGATAAAAGTGTTAAGCATATAAATATTTTTCAATAATCACCACATGTCTGGAGGGCATCTTTAATACATACGTTTCGTAATAACTGGTATTTAAATTGTGAACAAAGAATTCAAATGAAGACAAGTTTTCTGGTAGAGCTAAAAAGCCACCCGGCCTAGCGGTGCAACATAATGATGTGCATCATTAGACTGCATTAAGTGCTTAGCTAGGCTTACAGTTATATGCTATATTGTATTGTGTATGCCCATTTCTAATGTTGAACAGTTTGGGTTGGAAATAAATTCAACTGAGGAACAACCTGGCATTTTGTAGCCAAAAGCTTAAATGATTTAAAACTTAAAAACTGGTTTGGAGTTCAAATGGAAAGTCTGTCTGGCTCTGAATGTTGACAATCTGAGTTAGATATGTTTTAACAAATAAATCAGGTCGCTACAGAAGAGATTTCTTAGCTTATTTTGAACCATAGCATGTAAATATGGCTGTGTGCTCATGTGTACATGCAGTTTTAAATGCAAATTATTTGCATTAGAATGTATTTTAATCATATCCATAAATACAAATTAGCATTATGTCATATAACAAGTAGTCTGATATTGGACTGCAGCTTAATTGCTTACACAATAAGAGTTAGGCTGAGCTACATTAGACTTTAGCCCCTTTATTTCAGTCTGAATTGTTAATCTATTTCAGTGTACATGTGACCTTTGTAGGAGTCTGACTCCCCAGGCCTGCAGGCCTCCTCCAGAAGCTACTGCTTCTTCAAAGACCATTCTGTTGGACAATACAAAGACACGAGGCTGCTTGAAGGATCAGTTATGGGTTTTCACTCTCATATCCTCTGTAACTTTCTTCTAAAACCTTCTCCCCGTGGAAAATACGTTTTTCGCATATGAAACATTGTTGAGAGGTTTGTAATACCAAGAGGAAATTAAATAGCAACAGACACATTTGTATGCTGTATTCATGTACTGTCACTATATGATGCAAGAGGTGATGCAATATAAAGTTTTTTAGCAACATAAACTGACTGAAAAAGCAATAGGGTGAATAAAAAAGATTTATGTTCAGGCAACACTAACATTTGTGTGTAATAGTGCTCAGAAGCATATTTGATGCATGAAAAGGTTCAGCTTGAAATGCAGCATTTGGGAATGTGCATAAAATATTTGTTTCGGATAAACTTTTCTACATTTTATCCTTTTACAATCTTGGACTCTAATTTGCAAAATGCTATGTAGGGGACAAAATGAAGAGGTTGATCTGGTCAGGTGAGGTTAAAATGTAACTTAATGGTTTACATACAATACGTGTGGTAGAAAAATAATATTGACCCAGTGACATAATTCCCACTGTGGTGGCAGCATAATTCTATGATGCTGTTTTTGGGGGGGGGGTTGGGACAGCTATGGTTTTCAGATTGATGGTAAGACAAATGGAGCTGAATACAGAGCAATTCAGCTTTTGTATTATATGCAAAAGAAATATGAAAAACTGTAAATATTATTTATTCCATTTTACCATTATGCACTACTTTGTGTTGACTCATACATTAAATGCCATTAAAGGATAATATAAAGTTTGTGAATTTAATGGAGCGAAATGTGAAAAAAGTTTAAATTGCTTTAGCATTGCACTTTATTTTTATTCTGACAGTAACATTTCAAGGAATCAGACATTTTCTCATTGTTTAGTTGAAATGTTTTTTAAAAAAATTGAGTTTTAATTTGTAAACATGAAACACTGACAAGGCTGCTTCTTAATTACAACCTTATTAGAACTGCAATGACTACTCATTTTATCTCTAATGCTTTCCTATTTCTTAATATTGGAAACTTTTTAATTGCCATTTAGTTATTTAATATCTTAACGAGATAAGCATGACTTGTAATTTTTTAAATCTGCTTCCTTCAGAAGATCAAAGATACCTGTAGAAAATAAATCTACTGAGTATTTGAAAGGTTCTGCTTCAATGCGGTCTGCTTCTGCACATCTTCATTGACTTTTAGCAAAAGGATCAATAAAATTTAGTGGATAATTCTGAAGTGGAAAAGATAGGACAGATAATGGAAATATTGAACATTTTGAAAAGTGTGTTGTGCATTTCTGTTCAGCCCATTTTGATTGAAAACTCTGTTGGACCTCTATTTACTGCAGCTACATATTCAAGTGTTCTGGATTTTCTCTGTTAGTTTTGCACATCTCGATATTTTTTTCCCTGTTCTATTTTGTACAGTAGCTGAAGCTCAGTTAAACTGTGAAATTCAATTTTCAGGTCTTTCCACAAATCCTCAATTAGATTAAGGCCTAGACTTTGACTGGCCCATTTTAACACATTTATGTCCTACAAGCTAAACTAGCCTGTTGCAGCTCTGGTGGTGTGTTTAGGGTTGTTGTCCTAGTGGAACATTAACCACGCCCGTAATCTCAAATATTTTGTTGCCTCTAACTAGTTTTCTTCCTGGATTTATCTGTGTTTAACTTAATCAATACACCCAAATAAATTCTGACCAATTTGACTGTCCTCATAGACACAATGTTCACCACTTACAGCCATTAACAAGTTGGCAAAAATAATTTTTTGTCTCATTTGAACGTTCGTTTTAAATATTTGTTATGCACTTCTTGTGACTTTTATTCAACAAAAGGTTGCATGACTAATAATCGTCCTGTTGAAACTTTCTTCCAACTGAGCAGAAGATCTTTGCAGCTGATCCAAAGTGAATGTAGGCATCTTGAAATGATAAAACAAATCTTATTTTTCAGTTTTCCCATTTATGCAAATTGTAGTAGCCTTTCTACTGTTGCAGTTGTGCTGTATTCTGTTTTTAGATAATTCATTTTGTAGTTTCTCAAAGAAATATGGAGA